CTGACTGACCAAGGTAGCGAATTTATGTCTTCTGTAATGTCCGAAATATGTACATTATTAAATATAAAGAAGTTGCATTCTACATCCTATCACCATGAAACTATTGGTGCATTAGAAAACACACACAAATCGTTAGGTTCATTTCTTAGAATCCAATGTAATAATAATAAACGAAATTGGAGTACTTGGTTACCATACTGGAGTTTTTCATTTAACACTACTGTTCATACTGAAACTAAATATACTCCGTATGAGTTAGTCTTTGGGAAACTTTGTCATCTTCCAATGAATTTGCAATCACAAATCGATCCTTTGTATAACTATGATAGTTATCCTAAAGAACTCAAATTTCGATTGCAACAAGCGCATGCAGACGCCAGACGTAATTTAATTGTTAATAAACAAAAAAGGAAACAAATATATGACAAAACAATCAAGCCAATAACTTATAAAAGTGGAGATTTAATATTATTAAAAAATCAAGTTGGAGATAAGTTAAGCTGTATTTATAATGGTCCATTTGAAGTTTTAAATGACATGTCATCAAATGTTGAGATACTTAAAAATAAAAGCGTATAATATAGTTCATAAAAATAATACAAAATTATATAATATTTAATTTAAGATTGTTATTTCCTTAAGTATATTTTTTTTCTTTTCTCTTTAGTAAATAAAAAGAAATATATTGTTATATTATATATAAGTGGATATTATGTGTTGGTTAATTATACCACGCTTTTCTTTTGCCATGGAGGGGTATGTGTGTACCCTGTACTTTCACATGTAGTAAGTACCTAGTTACAGCAAAATATAATAAATTGTTTACATTGCAACTCTGCACTTTTCTAAATAGAACATTTACCTATGATAATGATTGTGAAATACGTATGCTTCAATAATTTACTTTATTAATGTATTTTCTTTTAAGAGACAGAAATAAATTATATCTTGAACTATAAGAACGTTTTATCTTCTCCGCATCCCTTCGAAGAACAAGATAGTTCAAGATATTGGTTATGTTTCTTTTAGTAAAAAAGGGTACATTTTCCAAATATAAGACAAAATATAATTGAAATGGCTTTAACTCGAAGAAAAAGAACGTTAGAGTATTTGACCGTTAGTATAGCACCTAAGCATGTAGCAAGTGGCACGCTCTCCAGTTTCCACTCTATTCTGTGGATCTTTTGTTGCACCCGACCGCCCGCACTCAACGCCCCTCCAATTAGTCACTTCGATGCTCACGTACGTGCAACGTGGAACCATTAATAATAAGTATATCAAACGTAAGCGAAGTTTTAAATTATATTTTCCAGATTTCTGCTCTTGATAAAATAAAAACCAGACAACTGCGAGTCGGACTCGCCCACTTAGGGCTTACAAGTTTTTATGTACGCAACATTAACGGCCGTACGTATCTTTTTACATTAACTTAGAAGCTTTATAAGTGTGATTTTTTCACATCTACAAGGGACCGTAGATTTGAGTATATGGTTTAAATTTCAACTTGATACTTCCACGCGTTCCCGAGATAAAGGGTCTTAACAGACAGATGGATAGGCAGACGGACAACAAAGTGAACTTATAAGGGTTTCGTTTTTTCCTTTTAAGGTACGGAACTCTAAAAATGAAGCCCATGTGTTAGTTTTTAATTTTTATCAAGAATAGCTTTAGACAGGCTACACCAAATTGGATAAATCCTTTTTTGTTGTATTCATTATTGTCAGAAGATAATTCTTTTAAAGATATTTTATGGGAAAAGCTACGAGAAACCTGCAGAAAATTCGTATCGTAATTAGAGGTGGTGTTTTGTATTGAAATCTTGACACCTCAATTCAAATTATTAATATTTTAAAATATAGTATTTATTTTGCTTCCGAAATTTCAGATTAAGTAACTATCAACTAAACTTTATCAAAGATCCGATCAAACAATGTACGAATACTTAAATGTGTTAAGAATTTGTTAGACCGCCTTTAGGAAAAACATACTTGTAGGTAATTAATTAGCTTAGAATGTTGAGCACACACGGTTTGTCAAGTTGTGATCGGTGCGCATTCCAATTTACCGCATCGCCGAGTTTCGTTCACCCTTACATTACGGGCAACTACATACTACAAGCTTTTATGTAGCATTTGATACCATCGCAGTTTCGCAACGGCTCTAACTTTTTATCGCTCGGCAATAAAAACGAACAATTACTACAAAAATGCTCGTAGCAGTCAGCTGGAGCGATTGACATTGAATTTTTAATCTTAAACGTAACCCTACAAAAAGCTTTTTGCAACATTTTAAGGAGGCATGGTCCTACATTAAGCCCCTTTGGTAAATAAAGAAATGGATAACTTCTTAGAATAACTTCGATTCTTTTAAACTTCAAAAAAAAACTGTCGTTTTATCAAATACTTAGGGTACCCTAATTAATTTAATTATTAAAATTACAAAACTGGAGAGTATGACTTTGTTCAATAAAGGCTTTGTAAAGTGATAAATAACATTCCAAATAGTGTTGAAATTGACTTTAGAAAATTGACCTTCAAGTAACATGCTAATAATAATTGCTTTATAATGCCAGTAGCAATCAAACAACATTAAATTCAGCCTTTGAATTATCGCTTCCCTAATGCATCATAATTATGAATGATCTATATAAAATTATATTCTTGATAAATATTTTATGATCAATGATTATTTTCATTCTTTTCAGCAGTAACATACTTAATTATTTTACATAATAATTTAATACACTGTACTGCAAGACACAAAGTATCACACTTTTCAGCAGTAACATACTTAATTATTTTACATAATAATGTAATACACTGTACTGCAAGACACAAAGTATCACACTTTTAAATTTGCAATAACTTTTTAAGTAAACAATGTATAATACACACATCAAAAGTGTCTGGGGATCAAGCATTTTTATGCGGATTTCTTGAGATTGAGATGTGGCTTTGTAATAAATTTATGATTTTATAAATTTATATGGATCCTTTTTGGTGCATTTCATAATTTGAATCAGGAACTGTGAATCAAATTCGAGTAAAAGATGAAAATCAGCTGTCAATATTTTCCCTATAAAAACATACAACGCATTGAAGACATTATTAGTGCTACTGTTTCCCTACTACTGATTAAAACCAACGTTATTATGGAGCGGCGACGTCATTTAAGCAGGGAAGAAATGTTTAGAGCCGTGGGAATGATAGAAGCTGGTTCCCGGCAACGTACTGTGGCTTTAGCTCTGAATACAAGTCAGAGTGTTATCAGTCGACTTTGGACACGATACCGAAGCACTGGTACCGTGGCTGAGCGCCATGGAGGACGGTATCGCTGCACCACACGGAGACAAGACCGATACATTCAAATCTTAACTCGAAGAGCTCCAACAATAACCGCCATGATGTTAGCCGTGAGGCTTCATCACTCTTCAGGGAACTTAATTAGCGACCAAACAGTCAGAAACCGCTTGCATGAAGTGAACCTTCATTCCCGAAGACCGCTACGGGTACCACCTATAGCAATGCACAATCGTAGGATTCGATATCAATGGGCTCTTGAACACAGAAATTGGGCAGAAGAACAATGGCGTTTCGTGTGCTTTTCTGATGAGTCTCGTTTTGGTATGAGACCGGATACAAGACGTATACGACACTGGAGAACCCCTGGACGCCAACAGCGATTAAAATCCTGCCAGGAAGTCCATCCTTATAGTGGTGGAACCATCATGGTATGGGCGGGTATTTGGATCGGCGGAAGAACTGAGTTGATTTGGATCAGAGGCAACCTCAACGCTCAAATTTATGCTGAGACGATTGTATCAGACGTCATCGTTCCTCTACAAGTGCAAATCGGTCCCTTATTTCAGTTAATGCATGATAATGCACGACCGCACACCGCAAGAGTTGTAAGACAGACTCTCGCCGCAGCTAACATCAATGTCCTGCCCTGGCCTGCTCAGTCGCCAGACTTGAACCCGATTGAGCATGCATGGGATATGCTACAGAGAAAAGCTCTGCCGAATATGGAGGGTATCCAGTCGCAAGAAGACCTTTTTTTGTTGTTGCAACGAACATGGGCGGCCATTCCACAGCGTGATTTGGATGAACTCATTTTGAGTATGCCAAACCGATGTTCTTGTGTTGTTAGTGTTCGCGGTAGAAATACGGATTATTAATTGTTTAAGTTACCCAATAAAATTTTAGAGAAAACTGTTATTTCAGTCTTTTTTTCGAACTTTTGTGTTAGTGGTTCAAATGTCAAAAATCCCTTTATTAGGAAAATGGCAAATTTCTTTATTAATGCAAAGGTGACTTGGTTTATCGTTACTGTGACAAACGAAAACACTTTATTTGATGAATCCTTAAAGAAAATTTTAATTAATATCAATCAGGAGAAAAGTTATTGCAAAAATATATGTTGATCCCTAGACACTTTTGATGTGTGTATATACCATATAAAAAATACACGAATAAGAGTTATATTTCGTACAACAGTTTCAAATAAAAGCTAATAAATTTTGCTATAAAACGGTACGGTAAATATTATAAATCTATAAGATCTATAGTAAATAAATAATTAAAAAATTTAAAGAATATGATTCTTACTTTTGCATGTCGGTGTATTATCTACTATGTTTTATAACTTGCTTCAATTTTAATTTGACGACTAAGGCTCATATTACAGACTGACAACTAAGTGTTGATTCATCACATCCCTTTCTAACTGTACTAAGTGTACAGTTAAAAAGGGATGTCCCTCTGTATAGCACATAGCGCCATCCCTTTCTAACAGTGCTCAAGTGGAGATCAGCACTTTACAGCGTGAAATTATCATATAAATATCGAAATTCACTTTTCCAAGAGGCGACTGCCGTTTTGGAGTTTTATAAAATTGTTTCCAATTAAAACTTTTTGTGGGACGCCATTGACGTCGTGTTACCCGGAGTTACTTTGTGAACTTTTCTAAAAGATTTTTTTGAAGATTACATTGTATTTTAGCACTGAGCCGAGTATGGACAATGCTGGGCGTTTTGGGACTGGTGACACTACAAGTTGCGCTGATAGCTGTGCCCGTTTGGGATTTGAGCAGGAAGCATCTTGCGCTTGCATCGTCGGTAACCGTCACTTGCGAAATGGTAAGAGCTTTTTTATTAACAAACAAAATATATACACACGTTTTAACGACATTTTGTGTCGTCATTCAATATGTACTTCTATTTTAATAAATCATAAAGTTTTACCATGTGGATTTAACTTTTAATATCGGCGCAGTTGTATAACTTAGAATGAACAGAATATGGATTTTAGAACAGGCAAGACCCTCTTAACTCGCCCCATTTAGCGGGAAAATCTTACAAAAATATTCTAATGATGTAGAAATCTTAACAAGGAAAATATGACACTGAACGCCAAATTATCTTTATTTCTATCTCTGATTGACCCCCTTTGATGGTTTGCCAAAATCCCAAAAGATATTCTTAAAGGGTTTGTAAAATAGAAGCACAAATAATGAACTTCACAAATTGGCGGAAAAAGCTCGCTCAGTTGGAAAACAATCATTGTTTGTAAGGTTATAATAGATAAGTCATTTCAAGATTTAAATACATAGGTAGCTGTTTTATATCATTTGTAAATAACCGTTACATTCTATTCTACATCTATATGTAGGGAATTAGTACTCGGGCGATTTTTGTTTTTTATTGTTGCATGCCGCGATGTCGCCCGTCGCTCGTTGGACGAGGGTCTACCCTGATTTATGTACTTAATGTTCCACTCGAGGCCCTATAGTACTATTTTTCTTTATTAATTCGTATCGCAATTCATTATAATGAAGTTGTACAAAATATGTAAATCTTCTTACCTATAGGTTTAGTATACTAAATAGACACAATTAAATTTGTTAGTTTATGATGACACAGACTGGGAAAAGATGGCATAAAGTTTTTTGTAAGTAGGTGTAATTATGTATTTTCAGATCATCGTAACTCCGACATTGTTGGTAAAAGTTACGAAAAATTAAAATCCTGCTTGTTTAAATTAGGCAATTTTTTATTAGGCAATTTACTAGTCATCATCAGCCTATTAATGTCCCCACTGCTGGGGCACAGGCCTTCCCTGTGGATGGAATAGGGAGATTGGGCCATGACCCACCGCACGGGCCCAGTGCGGATTGGTGGGTGCTAACGACTGCAGATGCAGCCGGGACCAACGGCTTAACGTGCCTTCCGAAGCACGGAGGAGCTCGAGATAGTAAATTTTTGGTCACCCATACAATGACCGACCACTGCGAAAGTTGCTTAACTTCAACGATCGCAGCCGAACGCGCTAACCACTTGCGCCATCGAGCTCCTCATAAATTTACTAGTGTAACAAAGGAATTAAAACTGAAATAACAATGTGAGCTCAAAACCTCCGTGACTCTCTTACCAACGTGCATCTTAGTAAAATTAGATGCAAACTGAAAAAGAAGCATTAAACTGCATCTATTTAGCGAGAAATTAGCTATGACGTGTAGTAAATAAACTACCCCATGCTGTCACATCTTTTATGAGGAATGATGAATCTACGCGTTCAAACGGTGTAGCTACGGCTAAAATCTTACCATCTACGGATTACCCATCCGCACTGGCCCCGCGTGGCGAGTCATGGCCCAATCTCCCTATTCCATCAAAAATAGTATCCTACCCACCACTCCGCACTGGGACCGCGTGGTGGGTCGTGACTCTATAAACTTCAAACCAAGTCCATGCCACAGCTCCGCGTCTTGCCCACCGTCCCCTATATTCATTCCGTGATGTGGATTCAAGAAATGAACATCAACTAGCTGTGCTAAGTAAAATAGCCTATTAGGGCCGTTGCAGACTTTCTATCGGCTGATAGTTAAAATGGAGTCAGACTGCTGAGTGCACAACTAACTGGTCGGATTGGCGAGTGCCCCGACAGCCGACTACAGCCGACGGATAATAAACGGCAGTTTCGATACTTAAACCAATCGGCAAGTGACTAATTCAGTAGAAGAGTGCCATACTGAACTATGAGTCGCCTGACAGTTTACCGACAAATTAATATGGAGGCGAAAGAACCTTCAAATCCTATCTGTCGGCCGGTGCGGAATCTTTATAATAGGGGTCATTGTTTACTTTTTTAAGTGTTCAAGAGCCTGGTTAGACGGCTGGTAGGAAGTCCGCAGTCTGTGATGGCTCTTTATTCAGAACATGCATCTCATTATTTAGGTAATCTATAATTTATCGCGGTCTGTAGTCACCCACCTAGCTGACCTCGCTAGGTTGTAAAGGATTTGTTGCCTTAACCCCCTCGGCTATACCGACCAAAAAAAATCTTCATTCCGAAAAATTCCTCTTCCATTTATCTAAGTCATTCTCTTAAACTTCAGTCGGAGCGTCAAGTAGCGTAGGCTACTCCCAAGGGCAAAAATTTTGGTGAGCTCGTTTTGTATTACATACCGGACACAGCCGCCGCGGCAACGAGATACGAGGACCATAATTTATGTAGCGATTCCGCGATACATCTGAACCCGACCATTTTTCCTGATTTATTACGATTTAACCCAGTGAAGATGGGCAGCAATTTTGCTACGTACTACATATAAATGAGCACATTTTTTAACTGATTAAAATACAAGCATTAATCAGTTTTGTATGGTACAAAAAACAGGTAGCGTTTATCCAGCTTAGCTTCCAGAGACTTTAAATTATCGATGGCTACATATAGTATCGCATGTAACAGTTATACTAAACATTGTGAATAAGCACATACCATTATCGAATTCAAATAGTTTGCGAGTCCGAAATGACATTGTCAAATTTGTACTGAATTTTAGTTCTCGTTACGTAGTTTGTGGCGCTGCTGTTCAAGTTTCTATATAAAATTTCACAATGACATTTCGGACTCGCAAACTATTCGAATTCGATATTGGTTCGTGCTAGGGGTACTGAAATAACTTTTCGCAGAGGAAATAAATGTATGTTTTTATCATCCTCTTTCGAAGCGGATTCTAAAAATAAACAATAGTATACTTTATAACTACACCTACGTTATAGAACTTACCTAGAAACTCGCAGCCTGACGGTATGATCGAAAAATCACTAGCTATAAAAGCGAGCCTCTGTAACGCCATTTATAACTTCTAAATGCAGATAATTGCTGTCAACTTTATTCTGTATGTACCTACAACTAAAATTCAAATCTGAATACTATTTTATAATTGGTATATTTTTTAAGTTGATTTCAGCGGTGGCTTATCCTATGTATAAACACCTAATCCTATCCTTTTACAGCTGTGCAATCAGGATACGTGAATCTTTCCTCTGCTAAATTGTTTGAGTCAGTTTTATTATAGCTGCCAGCAAAAGTTAGCGAACTATTGTTCCAAATTAGTTCTATGTGGAGTCATGACTGGGGTGGTTGCCTGCGGAGAATGAGGGACTATTTGTTACAGATTCCTTTATTCAAAACTCGGTCAAAGTGCTCTATTTTGATATAACGAATGTTGCGTATCTAGGCTGAAACTTCTCGCGTGTACGCAGGCATATAAATATGGCACAGTTGTGTTATATTGGTGTTTTAAGTTATGGAAATAGAGCAGACTGTTGAGAATTATAACAAAACACGCGGCGACGATCGCTCGCTCGTCTTTCTCCGAGTAAAGTAATTGTTTTTACTATACATTCTTTCATCACGTATTTCACCTAATGCAAGTTCTTTTTCCGCGCCTAGATCCTTTTTCAAAATTCCCAATAATTATGTACACTCCCAAAGACGTGATAGTTTAACAAATAAATTTCCTTTTTATTTATAATACTAGTTATTACATCTTCATCTGCTTAGAACAAATCGATTTTCCCAACAACAACATTTGCATAAACTTGTTCACCGGTTCACCCATCTTGTGTAAGCGACAAACATAAGGTTACTTTTGGATTAATTATAATAATAAGGTTGGATCAGGTTAGGATTTATTTTCTTGTATTATACTCTTAAATACCTTAACTTTTTATTCTCTACCAATCCCGAACAGTCTGTTCTTCGCTATCCAATACCAATATTTAAACTGTGTCTGATGAATAAAATCTTTATGTCTTTCTTTTTGCTATCGTCTATTGTTTCATTCATAAGCCCTTATACTGTTATTGCTTAATGAAAGTAAGAGATAATAAAAAAGCCCTCAAGTTCTCTTGAGGCTTTTGTCTTGAGGTTCTATAAAATCACTAAAATCTCGCAAAAAAATTATTGTTTCCATTGGAACTAAAGTCAATTATTGCCCTCCGTACGTACTTTGAGTGTCAGTGTTTTCTAAAATTATTCAAAAGGGGTGATTACTATCTTTATTTCTTGGTCTATCAGATAGATTATTCAAAACTATTGGACACATATTTTTTTTATTTACATAATCAAAGCATTTCAGAGATATGTGGATTTGAAATATCGCCTGACGTTACAGCTTAGTACAATGTTTACTTAGAAGTGACGTCACGACTCAAAAACTTTGCGCGCCTTATCTTTCTCATTTTTTATTGATTGGCAAAAGAACAAATATGTGTCCATTATTTTTTTGATAATGTGGCTGTCGGACTAAATATAATTTCGTTAACCTACTTTACCCCGTTATCAACCTTATTAAATCAAATTAAATAATTCTAACTGAGTAAGTAAAATAATAAAATATCCTGACAATTTAGTTGCAACGATTAATACCTACCAACCAACCGTATTAAGCGTGGCATTCGAATTTCTTTTTATCTCATTTTAATTATAGTAATGGAAGGTTTCATACTCTTTTACATCAAGGTCGTTTTTCAACTTGATGATTCGATAAATAAAACAGGGAGTAGGTACGCTCTTCTCAGATCAAGATTTCCCAACTAACGGCGTAATTTTTACTTTAGGTAATGTAAGTCTAGACTGAATAAACGTTTTTAATTTATGTTTCCTACTATTTTAATGAAAACTTCCTTTTTTATAAAGGAAGCCATAAATCTTTGTTACAACTAAAAAAGAATATAATATAATTGATTGATTTCGAACTGATTGATTATTATTAATCAGTTCAAAATCAATCAAAATTCGTTCACAAAATCAACACTAACGCGAGCGAAGTCGCGGCCAAAAGTTCAAGAAAAATCACGTTTCAAGTAGGGACCTACCTAAAGGGTCTCTCCACTATATATTTCTTTCTGTGTTCCCTACTTTATTTTTATTATTTGTTGTCAAGGTAGCTCCAGCAACACGCATTGTGTAAAAAATATAGTCATATTCCTTTATGAGATATCACCCTGTAACAGATAGTTCACGAAATAATGTTAACAGGGTTCGTTTTCCTTAATTATATTTTTTGCTTTTAATGTTAAAAGGATGTTAAACAAGCATAGCATATGACCCGCTTGCTGGAAAGCAGCCATCATAGCCTACAGACACTTGCGACACAAATATCACTCACTCCGTTGCCTAACCATGACCCAATCCCCCCGCCCTGGACCATTACCCACCGACAGAAACAGCACACTACCAAAAAGTCGTGTTATTTTACTGTGACCTTCTGTAAGATGGAGGTTACTTCCCCAGCCGGGCGCTCCAATTTGAGCGGAAAATCCGCTATGGTATAACTCTCTTATGTATAGTTTTGAATACATAGGAAAACGGCTTATTTCCAATTTAAATAAATACGGTTTATTATATTATATTTTATTTCCTTTTGTATTACTCTAGCCTTAGGCTGCAAGACAATAAATAAATACATTTTTTTTAACTAATTCACGTGTTTACTCCACGGAGTCGAAATGATATGAGTACCTCTTGTACTGAGTAGCTAGAACTATTGAATGACGTCAGGCGACATTAATAGTAGCTCTGCAACACTGCATACGGCAGCAGCTCCTCTTTGTATTTGCTCCATGGCGACGCCCTACCTTAAACGGACAGCAGGCGTGCCCGAGCACGCCCTACCTGTAATTGCCGCTATCTTGCCTGTAATAGACGACCTCCGTGGCCGAGTGGTTTGTACGCCGGGTTTCATGGTGTCGCCGACTCGTGAGGTCCCAGGTTCGAATCCCGGTAGGGGCAGATGTTTGTGTGATGAATACAAGCATTTTTACTCCAGTCATGGATGTTTAATATGTATTAGGGCTAGGCTAATTGGTGTGAATGTTGGAAATATCTTGAATACAACTCTGGCTACGACCCTGATTTACGAATAATGTAACTAGTTCAAAACAATATTTTTTACAAACAATTGTGTTTCTAACGAGAACATAATCACAGAACGGGTGTTAACAGCTCAAAGGGGATACGGTGGACACTGTTATAAATTATTTAATTCAATAACATAGGTAGGAGGCAAGTTAATAATGACTCTGCTTAAAGGGCAACCGAAAGTATTTGCTTTAGAATATTAATATCCCAAGAAAATGGATGATTGTAAATATATGGACCTAATGGAGCGAGCACCTATCTACTTAATCATGTGAACTATTTTATCACAATAAGTGATTTATTATTTTCAATTCATTAATCTATTAAATTGTTCAGTCTTCTAACGTTTTTTAACTTGTATTGATACATTAGTAAGCTATTGAATGAATATAATTAATTATTCAAATTCTTTGAATGATTGTTTTACAGCCTTCGTTAGAATAATTTGCTTTCTGAAAACTACACGATTTTGATTATTTTTTCACTATTGGTGCAACAATTTGAGCTACCTATTATTTTCCTTTTGCCAGATAAAATGTGTTTATAATCTTAGAAATAATTGTGATACTAAATACATAAATTATAATAATAAATGGAGTTAAATTAAAATAAAAACTTTAAGATAATTTTCATTGTTATGTCCACATAAAAAAATATTTTAGGTATTTTATGACCTAAAATATTTTTTATGAAAAGAATGAAATCAGTATAGTCTGCCTGTAGGCCGTTTTTATCCGATAAATATTAATTAGTCTCCACTAAGCCTTTAATTATAATTAAAACCTAATTTATCAGATAAACGGTTGTCTGTCTGTGATTACAAAATTAATCTAAACACAATTTTAATTTAGAAATATCTACTTGATTCATTTCATGAAAAAAGAGTTAAATACTCATATTAGTTTGATATATTCCAAACATGTGGACAAGTTTCGGTGAAATTTAATGTGTGCCTACAATTGGGTATGATGAATTCCCTGAACAGTTCAGATTCACAACTGGACCCGGTAGGACAGGACAATATCTGTCAGATCCGCAGTAAATCCGAATTCAGGAGCTTAGGTACTCTTGCATTGCACGATTCCTATGATGGGTCATATATCCCTGATCAGGGGTCCTATTGCCTAAAGTGATTGCTATGGCTATAGCTATAGCTTATGATTATATTTGTTATTTCTGACCGCCGCAGGTTTTCAAATGCCTCGCGATCCATTTTTTCTTTTGCGTTGGTATTAAAATGAGCGCCATTTCAAAACCTTCGGCGGTCAGAAATAACAAAATGTAAGCTATAGCCATAGCAATGCCGTTAACCGGTAGGCCCCCTGGGGAGGGTAGGACAATTACCGGTGGGACACGGCGAAGTACTAACGTGCATGATCCCGCACTCTCGGCACGCATTTGGGGGAGCTCGATCCTCAGAGTGCATGTCGGGTGACTGGTGCAGGAGTATTGTCAAGAGTTTTCCTGGGAAGGACCTTGCTCATTACACCAAGCATCGGATTTACCTGAAAAGGGCGGGTAGGAGTCCCCAGATATCCTCGTTGCACGTCCCCGTGGCGAGAAAGACTTCAAGTCCTTATCCGACACAAAAGGGTACGACCAAGGCCAAGAGTTGGCGTTGTAATAATAATAATAAATTCATTTATTTCGGACATTTCTCCATAATGTTAGTAACAAAATTAACCTAATATGTAACCATAATCATTATTAATGAAAAATGCTACCTACGCATTTCGCCGCCCCGTCGTCGTCGTTATAATTCGTTAGATCACAAAATTAAATTTAGGGAAATACAGGGTAGGTGAACACTGGAGCCCACGGCAGACCAATCGTGAAACGGGGTCTTTTCTATATATCAAGAAATGGCAGAATCTGGCGCAATCAGTTTTGCATTTAGAAACGGTAATTAAATTTGAAGTTTGATTAAAGTAGATGGTGTCACTTTTTTCCGATGTCAATCATTATAACAATGTTATAATAAGAGAGTTGTAACATGCGCAAACATTAAATTGAATAACAGATCGGCCGCTGTCGTGGCTTTTCAAGAAGGAAATTTTTTTGGATTTAAGATAGGCACTTTAACACCAGGTTGGTAGGGGGGTAGTCGTTTGCAAATGATTTATATACAAAACTAGCGGCCCGCCCTCGCATCGCTTCGGTGTAGAGCTGAAGTTTAAACTACAGTTTTTGTTCTCAGGCTTGTATTATACATAATGACATTCATCTATTATTCTTCTTATACCTGCATACAAAATCTCAGCCCGATCGGTTTAAAATTAACAAGTTTCATACAAACTTTCATTCCCTATTTTATCCCCTTGGGGGAAGAATTGATCAAAATCCTTTGTTAGCGGATGCCTACGTCATAACATCAACCTGCATGTCAAATTTCAGCCCGATCCGTCCAGTGGTTTGGGCTGTGCGTTGATAGATCACTATGTCAGTCAGTCACCTTTGAGTTTTATGTATATAGATGAATCATTTTAGAATTAAATAGATTGTGGTTTCATAATTTTCCAACTCGTTTGCAGTTTCGTTTCACGATGAAAATACACGCGGTGGCCGTTGCGAGCGCCCCCAGGTGCTACAGAGATGAACCTCTGCCTACATTCAAGCAGTACCTTTACTTCCTGTTCGCGCCCACACTGCTCTACAGGGATCAATATCCAAGGTATAAAAACGACCATGTACGTATTACGTGACAAGGTGACTTCATGTGCATGGGAGAGGTAACCTTAATTTTTGTACCACTTTGTTAGTAAGAATATATTATGTAAATATATATCCATGCAAAATTAAAGTTTTCTAGTCTCTGACCTAAGCTGCAGACAGAGGGACCGTTATCGCGAAATTTTATTTTTTTGTTGTTAGGCCTATAATTTAACTTGTTATCGCATTAGGCCGTGACAAAAATGACAGCCAAAATGCTGCTAAAAAACTCTATAACAAGTGCATAGACAACATCAAACAGTCACACCTCCATTACCGTTTTAGTGGCTGTATTGGAATACTTTAAAAATCGATAATCGATGCATCGCGAAGTTCAGAATCATTCATCGTGTCAGGTCCTAGTAGTCCAGTATAAAAAACTATGTAGTAGGAGCTGTAATAGTATCCATGTGGTGGACCGACGATCTGGTGAAGGTCGTGAGAAGCCGCTGGATGCGAATAGCATGGGAGCAATCTGAGTGGATATCCTTGAGCGAGCCCGAATCACAGTAATGGGCTGCACAGACGAGAGACTTTTGTGAAAATATGTCCGCCGAGCTCATGTCACGGACTCAACGCACATGGTGTGAAAACATTTGTGGCCCGAAAGTTTAGTGTGGAAGTAAATATCCTCTGATAACGTTGTAGATCAGAAGTACTATAAGAAAAAGAGAAGACCTTTCAAAGGAGAATACTGGGTCCATCTCTTTAAATCGGATCGAGTGCGCTACGCGGACAAAAGTTCGCTGTGTGCGTTGCTGTGCCTAGTCACATGAGATCTATTTTTTCGGGGACTCGGGTCTTTTTACACGGGACTTTTAATTCCTCGTGTGTGTTAGTTACTCTATGCAGTTTTAAGCGATTCTATTTTGACGGACGAAAAGTTTGCGGACAAAGAACGTTCCACGTCTGCGCAGGCCATTATGGGCATTGTACGGCTGATATGATGTTGAGTTAATGATGACGAACACAATTATAACTAAATCCAATTTTAAGAGTAGAGGGGCTGAAAAGCGTTACTTGGTAATGACTATGATTTGCTAACGACTTCATATAAATAAATAAATCAACGACAAAATGATTACAAATATCACTATTCACACGTAGGTAGGTACAAAACGTAAGTCACGTAAAGGCTTGACTACCTACATTATATAAATCAGATCGGACAGTCGGACACGAATCAGCACCTTATCACATCGAGGTGATAGACGATATACGCACGATTTTAATCCGTTTCCGTTACCTAAAGTTTTGATTAATGTGATATGCAGCATAGAATTAAGAATGTTGAACGGTTCAAACTGAGATGGCAGGTAGGTACAGGTACCGCTTCATTTCCGTTTTCAAGGTATAACCTACCTGAGGTTCGTGTTCTTATACCGGTAAGGGCTTATGCATGTATTATGCATACGAGCGCTACTCACTACCCGAGTCATAGCTTTTAATTTAAATTATTTTTATGTACCTACATTTCTCTAGCCGTTACCCTGTATCCCATTCCACTAGCCAGTGCTTACTTTGGGCCTGAAGCTAGGCTAATTCGTTTGAGAGTAAAACATATTTCTGTTTATTGAATTATGTATATATATCTTTGTAACCTAACCTTAACTCTGTCAATCGGCATACGTTTATTACAAGCTCTTTCTCAGCAAATTACTTTAGTTGAAAAATATTTACCTAAATAAAAATTTCCACCGATCAGTTCATTGGAAAATTTTTATTCTGACCTTTTTTTAAGTAATAATTTTATTTTCGGGTTATTTGAAGCCTAAAAATATTATTTATATATTTATTATTTTTTATTTATTTATTATATTATTTGGTTATTTCAAAATGAACCTGTTTCTTTGTTGGTTAGTAGCAGAGTCGAAGCCACGTTTAAAAGCTTCTTTATTACGTAACAATAAAAGTAGTAGTATTAATAGTAGGTACCTTCATGTGTATCTACTATCTTCTATTAACCCAAATCTTGATACTAATTAATATTACCATAACATTAATTATGTTTTCAACACACAGGACAAAGAAAATCCGCTGGGGCTTCGTGTTGTACCATGTCGCAGAAGTGGCCGCCATTATATTTTACAACAGCTTTTTATGGGAGCGCTTCATACTACCATACTGGTCCGATTATGGGAAACAACCGAAGGTGAGCTAGAACTTTGTAACTTTTGCTGCTGAAAAAAACATAATAGGGTTTGGGTAACAGCTTATTATGTTCTACGTATTGACAAATAATATACCTATTACAAGATCCCAAACTTGCCAGACCTTACTTATTTTCTAACGGACAAAATATGGATAATCTAAAAGTATTAGTGTGTACTTTGAACGTATACATACTCGCTAACTTGGGCTGTGAGCCAATTCTCAGGTATCAGGTGTTACAGGTGCGCAAAAAATTTACCATTTTACTTACAGTCTGAGACTTCATTTTTATTAATGATAGTTATCTTATGTTTTGTCAAAGTTATTACGAATATCCTGATAATTTCATATGTGAAATCGAATCCGAAACAGTATAAGGTATATACTTTAGTCGATTCAAAACGCGTTAATAAAGCAAAATATGCATTTCTCGACTTAATACACTGTTTCGGAATGACTAGGCGGAATAAAAAGAATTATTTTGAAATATGTGCTTGTTACATGATTGATTCTGAAAATAATGCACTATTTTTCTTTTTGTTTTATTGCGATTACCATACCACGGTAATGTTATCTTTATCATATTTTGCTTTATTAACGCGTTTTGAATCGACTAAACTATAAACTTATACTGTTTCGCATTCGATTTCACATATGAAATTATCAGGATATTCGCAATAACTTTGACAAAACATGAGATAACTGTAATGATACTACATATATAAAAATGCGATAGACACCCATGAGTGCGCTATTACTCGTAGTGGAACTTTAAATAGACTTATCGAAGTTGTGGCCCCTACAATTGGTCTGGCAGCTTATAAAATCTCTTATCTAATATACAAGTCCGTCCGTCCGTCCGTGGTGCTGTTTCAGCGGCCAAACCGTAAGAGATAGATATAAAGAATGTTTAAGTTATAAGTTAAGAATAGTCTGATAAGACTACAAACCGGATGTGAGTAACGTAGCACTTCCGGTCTATTTCAAACGAAACCACACAAAATCTCCGAAGTTCTGAATTAATTAAATACATTTTTTTTTTGGTGAACATTTGGTTCACTGGTTTGCTAGTACATTATAATTACAAAATTCTCTTAAATATCATAGATAAAGAAAAGTGACTAAGTTTTTTGCACACCTGTGCCACCTGAATGTTACCTGAGAATTTGCGAGTATGTATATGTTCAATATTCATGCCAAACTAATACTATTAAATTATCCATATTTTGTCCGTTGAAAAACAAGTAAGGTCTGGCAGGCTCGGGATCTTATTCTAATAAGCTGTGGCCATCGCGTATTCGAAGTTTAGACGTCTGCACGTCTGTCCTCTCAAATTTTTATTAAGGATATTTAAATAATGTCTAAAATAGGAACTTTTTAAGCTCGACATTGAGACCGCCACATAATCTCACTGATTTTATCCTTAACACTAGCTGACCTGTGTCCACTTCGTTGGACGGTAAACATACTTACGTATTTTCAAAATCGGTTCGGCATTCTCTAGACCTACGTCTAGAGAATGCCCCTTACAATACAACGTCACAAACTCTAATTTCACAAACTTTGCCTGTTTATAATCCTATTATAATTATATATTGGTGTCCATTCTGGCATGATTCTCAAAACTTAAAACTAAATTTAACATCAGTCTCTCCTTATATCAAATGACGAGAATACACTGTTTTCAAATTTAATTTAAGGTTTAGAGAATTAAGTCAGAATGGACACGATTTTACAGGTAGTTTAAATACTTCTACGACTAATAAAATTATTTTATGTAATGTTAGTTTGCAAGAACAACTTAGTGTAACATTTGTCTCATATTTTTATGTATATAGTTTTATATAAGTATATCTACGTGTGCCAAACTCAAATAATATTCCTCATCAAGAGAGGGTTCCATGAGTAATGGTTGTTCGGAATGAGTTTTTCTAACGGTAATTAGCGAAGTGTGCCCTCGATAGGCACGTAGGTACGTTTACACAGGAGATTGCTCTTGTAAATTATGCCATCTGACTACACCGATGAGAGTCATGGATCGTGGATCCGACCCTTTTTTAGCTGACTAAAAGTTTTGCAAATTTAAGCAGACGTGTCCTGTACAGAAGGTACCTACATTCACGTGTACGTAATTAAACAAGTTAGAATTTGTAGGCACTAGGTACGATCGAACCAACTGATTCCAGACCCACTTGTCCGATAATTCGCTTAAAAATGACAAAACAAACAAGTTTTCCTTTGCAGAGAATGCGCGATTGCACTTAGGACCTTCTAATAACAAGGAAACGTTGTTAGTATGCATCAAATATATTTAAAATTTAACCTTTATTTTAAATGCAATAAATCTTGTTAACTATAAAATTGGAATAGTAGTTTTAATTTCGAAATCACTTTAAAATTGTGAATTAAACTCTTTAATTTCTTGACATTATAAAAAACGGTGATAAAATAATAGAGAAATCCTTAGTGCATGTGTAATATTCCAAATAATATAATATCAAAATTATGTCACAGAAAGGCGGCAAAATCTGTCACGGCAAAAAGTTCAGAAATTAACAAGTTTATTTCCAGGGATAATATAATAATCTATAATCAAATATATAATCAAAATAATAAGGTTAAGGGTAAGGATTTTTGCTCAAATATACTTGAGCAAAAATCTACCATATTATTTTGAAATAGTTTAACAAAATAAGCTTATGGTGGGTCAGGAATCAAATTGGCTGATTGTACCTACAAATATTGTTGTAATCATAAGTAATTACACATAGTTTCACGATGGTTTTACGCTATGCATCCCTTGTGGTGTGGCAGGGGTTGAAAAGGGTGTGACAACATGAGATGATAGGTAGGTATTTATATACTCAGTAAATAATTAGAGAGACACTCGGTTGTTTATAATATAGATAGGTATTTTATAGGTAGGTACACCCCTCATATCAACGTCTGAACGATGTTGTGAAAAAATATATTTTTAGGCAAGAGTTACCAGTCCATTGCTCACAATTCCGAACAGAAGAACTGCGTCCGTAAGTTTTATTACGAATAATCCAGCCTAATTACTGCCGTATTAAAGAGATTTTAAACACTGGTGTCATTAAAAGTTACCTACGTTTTATCTGTATCTACTGATTGTGAAATAAATATTAAAATCGACTCAGTGGTTCCTGAGTTTACTTACTTCTTACAAACAAACTTGGCCCTATTTATAATAAAAAATAAATTAGTAAAGATATACTATCTCAGCTAAACCATCGGATTCAGTACTTTTTCCTTATCCCAAAATGACCTTTACTTGCCTAAAGAAGTTTTACGTCAAATTTTTTTTAAACTGTGACGATTTCTATGATAATCTTGAGCCCAAGAGGCTAAATAGGGTTTTACTCAAGCGTCGTGGGGACCTGTTGGATTTTGCAGGTTAGATAAAAAGAAGAAACAGTTTATATAATTAATACACTTATATTAACTCAGGTAGACGCAGGCTTGGTGGTGCGCGGTATGTTTGCGTGCGTCCTGCCCGGAGTGATATCTTTCCTGTGCGGCTTCTACTGCTTGCTGCATGCCTGGCTCAACGCCACCGCCGAGATGCTCACCTTCGGAGACAGGTACTTTTATGAGGTACGAAGTTGCGTAACGACAAGAAAGAGTTATCTTTAATTATATGAATACTGTTGGAACCGGCGTGATATCCTTCCTGTGCTGCTTCTACTGCTTGCTGCACGCATAGCGCAAGACACCGCCGAGATGCTCACCTTCGGAGACAGGTACTTTTATGAGGTACGAAGTTGCGTAACGATAAGATAGAGTTGTCTTCAATGTTATGAACACTGGTATAACCGGCGTGATATCCTTACTGTGCGACTTCTACTGCTTGCTGCACGCCTGGCTCAACCCCACCGCGGAGATGTTCACCTTTGGACACAGGTACTTCTGTGAGGTACGTAGTTGCGTAACATAAAGAAAGAGTTGTCTTTAATTATATGAATACTGTTGGAAGCGGCGTGATATCCTTCCTGTGCTGCTTCTACTGCTTGCTGCACGCCTAGCGCAAGACTCCGCCGAGATGCTCACCTTCGGAGACAGGTACTTCTATGAGGTACGAAGTTTTGTGTGAATCAGTCGTTGAAGACTTATTGTTTTAACAAAATAATAGAATAATAGTAGGTAATAAATCTTTATTGTGTATGGAAGAAGGTAACATGAAAATACAGGTCTTAATGCTGATGTACAGTACCACTTGACCTTTTCAGGTGTATATTATACGTATAGGAACCATTTAAATTTATTGACAAGTTATATTCCTACATATATTCTAAGTTATCTTGGATACTATAAAAACATTTTTGGCTGAACCAATTCTTAAGATTTTTTTTTAATTTAAAATGTTAAGTTCTTTGAACTTGTCTGGTAATTTATTGTAAATTTTAATGCAAATAATAAAAGTGTTTTAGCTTCTAAAGACGATTTTGTAGCAGGCCTATGGAACTTATAAAAATAACTTGCGTAAATTTCGATTAGTGATTTGATGATTCTCTTTAAATAGATACTTAAGTTTGTCTACAAATGTACAAATATCAAGAATACAGGCAAGGCAACAGACAGCTAATAGTTTCTAAAGTAAGGTCGACAGGAATCAATTTGTTTGAAATCAAATATAGCACGAATACATTTTTAGGGTTCCGTAGCCAAATGGCAAAAAACGGAACCCTTATAGATTCGTCATGTCCGTCCGTCAGTCCATCCGTATGTCACAGCCACTTTTTTCCGAAACTTTAAGAACCACAATTAACAGTGAACAGCATTAAGATTTTCATAAAAATAGAAAAAAAACAATAAATTTTGGGGTTCCCCGTACAGAACTGAAACTCACAAAAAATTTTTTTGTTCATCAAACCCATACGTGGATAGGTCTTTAAAATTAATATTGAAATTTCTAATATATATTTTTTCTTATCTGAATAGTTTACACGAGAAACACTTCCAAAGTGGTAAAATGTCTGCCCCCTATAACTTCTAAAATAAGATATTTTAATACGTCATAAATCGTAAACCGCTATTTACCTTTCGTTCAATCAACTCAAATATAAAAATAAAAATATTTATTTTTCTTTTTATATTATAGGGGGCATACGAGCAGACGGCTCACCTGATGGTAAGTGATCACAAGCCCATGGACACTTGCAACACCAGGAGTATCACAAATGCGATGCCGGCCTTTAAGGAAGGAGTACGCTCTTTTTTTGAAGGTTCTTGGGTCGTATTGGAATTATTTAATTTCATAAGCAATAACGTTATGCATAAACCATTATTTTTTAATAATAAATCTGTAATAGGTGCCTAAATAAATAATAATTATAATTCGCGCGGGGCGCGGCTTGATCGGTAGCGGGTGCAGGTTTTATATTATGTTACTTGCTGCTACGGAACCCTTCATGGGCGATTCTGACTCGCACTTGACCGCTTTTTTTCGAGATCTCCGACTGTTTTGTTAGAAATAGTATAGTTTTATTTAAATTATTGTTTTTTAAAATCTTATTTTCAAGTTTCTTTTAATTTTTAGATGATGTAACTCATTTTTCATTTCCTGGAGTGTGCTAAATTCATAAAAAATATATTTTTGAACACTTTTTTTAAAGTGCCTATTTCCTTCAAGTGGTTTATTTGACGTCCTATATTATTATTTATCTTATATTTAAAATTATTTTCCACAGGACTGGTGGACGATGTCCCAGTTCTCCAAGTACTACCGCGCTTGGAACAGAGTGGTATACTCTTGGCTCCGTGACCACATCTACAAACCCCTGTCGCTGAGCTGTGGCCGTGTCCTCTCAGTATTTACCGTATTTTTGGTAAGAGTTTTTACAACATTCCATTTTTCATTGCGGAACTTTTTAACAGACTTCAAAAAAGAGACACAATGAAATGAAAATTATTGGCACTAATATATGTATGTATATATATGGATTACCCTATCAGATTTGGAGGTTCAAACCCAAAACACAACCCAAAATAAACATTCCGATAACCATTACTAAAATGGTGGCTTAGCCGTTTCGCTAATTACCCAATCTGCAATTTAAATCCGTAATGCTTAATTGCGAAGCTTAACTTTTTATATACTTATAGTATTGTTATTAGCTATTGATATTGGAGAACTCTCTCGTTAAAGTTATTATTTAGTTTATATGAATAAATTTAACTTATTAAATTTTTTAAAATAAAATATACCAAAGTTTGGTAATCTTGAAATATCCTTCATGATTATATAAAAAAATTGTTTTCAATTTGACGACTCTGTTTATAATACAGGGAGAAAAAAACAGCCCTTGCTGAGTTTCGGTTCAGTTCTTCTCAGTACAAGGTCTCCCGCCGTAGATTTGCGAACCGATGGCGTAGCTTTTCGACATTCACAAGTGCTTGGATGCACAGCCTAGACTGAATAAACGATATCGATTTTGATTTTTTAGTACTCGATGACATGAAAGGTTTGAAAGATCTTCGTGTGGACGTTGTTGGGTCTTAAATTTGAAAAAAATCCGAAAACACGCCAAGATATTGTTAAAAAAAAAGTCTTAGATTAATGGACAAAGACAAACAGCAACAATGTAAAAAATTAAATCCAAAATAAGGAGTTAATATTTGATATCAATACTTATCTATGGAGGTATAGCTAACGTTAATCTGACACTTCTTATCATTTATTCTTCCTCCTACTAATGGTTTAATAAAGCATATAACAGAAAAAAAAGATATATTAGAAAAAGAAAGAAAATAATTAATGTACAGTCTGGCTGGTTACACAAGGCAGAATGAGCTATGTATATCAGTACAGTATTAGGCGTATCGTAATCTTATAAATATCATACAGATATAAATTTCACCATTTAGAAAATTGTATTAGAGCTCCTCCATTATAGGGGATGACGCCGCAATAACACCGCGGGCAGCGATGACCTCAGCGAATCACATTGTATATGGATTACTTACCCTTGAAATGCGTTCAGAGAATGTGATATGAAAAGTCTATTGTATCATTTTCCTGAATGTGTTTTTTCCTACGGTTTAAAAAATTACCAATATTATATCAACGTAAAAAATAATAGCTGTTTTAATCTAGTAGTCATGTAGAGAGATAAAAAATACTTGGTGGAAAGATCCCTCTACTCTAGGCGCCAATTAGCAAGGAGATGTCAAAAAACGAAAATCGACAAACTTTCCAGTGGAAAAGACAGGTAGGTACATTGTTAAGTGAAAGCGTCGAGTCGACCACATGCTATGACTCTGAAAGACAATCTCGCCTTGCATCGTCAAAGTTTCTATGAAAACTAAGCAGCGCCCCCCTACCAGGCGTAAGAACAAACTGGCTCCTTACATACAAAATTTGAAGATGACGAAACGATTACTTTCAAAGTTCGTGCTTGGACCTCTGATCTATAGTTTCGCCAGCGCACATTATAAATTCGAAGTATCTGTCTATTTCTCTTTCACGAACCTAAACTGCTGGTCCTATTTTAATGAATCTTGTTGATGGATAATAGATGTTGGTTTATCATCATAAATTGTTTGTTCCTGACTTTCATTACTTTTCAATAAATTGTACTCTCCTTCAATAACAGAAGTTGAGATGATTGTCGTTTTTTCTATATTTAGTTGAGCTTGCCAATAAGATGACAAGAACCACCTTCCATTAATCTAGAATAATGTTTAGGTCGGCTATCTTGTCAAAGTAAATAAGCCGTGCCGGGTTGAGCTTCGTATCGTTGACTAACTCTTGTTTTGCGGGTTCAATACAGATGGTGAACAGCATCAGTAGTGAGGACAGAAATGAAAAAAATGATTTCCTCCACTGTTGATTTTCCTTTTTGTCTAGGCTTTGTTGAGTCACAATTGCTGTCTTCCTCACCGACTGCATCGTATGTCGTAGGTGACTCCATAGGAAGCCGTGAGAGCTTAGTAACTAGCTGTTTCAGTTGACTGTATTTGGTCTTCAGTGTGACCACTAGGCCATCTTCCCCGGGATGTGTTTCGGTCACTCTGCCAATTAACAACTTAGCAGGTGGAATGTTATCTTCTTTCACTAAGATCATGTCTCCATTTGTAAATTATCCGTTCCTGTGAGGAGTTTGTAGGGACTATAGATAATCACGTGACCATCTCTTCCAGAAGCACTTGTATAGCTTTTCTATTAACAACCATCTTTGTCGTAAACTTGTAGGCTCTATATCGGGACTCAGAAGGTTTGAAAGGACTGGTCCGCCAAACCAAAAAATGACCAGGGGTAAGTATGTCCAAATCTTCAATATTTTATTGTGAGTGGTGTGAGTGGGCGGGAGTTGAGGCAAGCTTCGATTTGCGCCAGGAGAGTAGTGAATTCCTCAAATGTGAGTCGTTGTTCACCGAGGATCCGACGAAGGTGGTGTTTTGTACTTTTCACCGCAGCCTCCTTAAGTCCTCCAGCTGTAAACCAAGAGGGTGCATTGAAGTGCCATTCGATGCAGGAGCTGGACAGTTCTTTCATCAACTCTGGTATGACGTAGTGACGCAGCGCTTCCATGTATTCCTGTTTCAGAATCGTTGTACTGCTGATACGATGATGAGATTAATTTGGGACCCTTGGTCTAGAGCAATGCTCTCATTTTAATCATGGATCCATCGGAAACTTGACCATTTATTACCATAGTGGTCAAAAATATTTCACTGCTTCCCGCCACATGGTTGGCCTAGCGAGGCACAGAAGCGGCAATCGACTTTGAACTCTTTAATGGAATATTTGTCTTTGCAATCGATTGTGTATTTAAAATATCGTGCAACCTCGTATGATGTGGTTCATTGCAAACCCAACAACGTTTAGCGGAATTGCACTTATTGTCTTTGTGACAATACATGCAGTTTGAGCATATATTGTGTTGAGCGATGGCCTTCAATTTGGTATCAGCCGTCATGTCTTGAAATTCTTTACAATAAAATAATATTTGGTTTTGCAAAGCGGGAAAATTATTTTGCGGTTGCATGTTATGCCTAAGGTGACGACTGCTTGAATTTATTGTAGTTATTGAGAAGATATTCATATGAATTTAAATTAAGTCGCTATTTGTGCTAGCAAAATCCTTTTTGAAGTTGGTATGTATTATATAGCTTGTTGTCTTTGTAGAAGCTCCCCCATTGTTGAGTGTATATATCTCACTGGTATGTTCAGTGCTGGCGTGGCCGTGATTTATATATGCGCCTTCTCAATTACCTGGTGAGATCCGCTTGTGAGAGACCAGACAACCGATTCACTACCACAACTACTCATCACAAATCACAAACACAGAAAATTATTCGACCAAAATGTAAGGACCCGTACACTTAATTGTATGTTAATATATTATTTAGTATGTGGGACTTGTGATGTGTCCCTGAGAGCACTGGTAGAAATAGGTAATGTCAATGTAAAGAGCACCGTACTTTCCAATGGTCTTTATTGGACTAATTTATTGAGATGAGCTGATCGTATGTCAAAATACAATTGAATTGAATGCATGGTCAGCGATTTGATTGACAATAAATGTACACTTATATAGCTATACAATGACCATTGTTCTGCTTTAGGTACGCGAAGCACATAGACTTCCGTTATCTATTTTGATCTATGACGGCGTCGTGAGAGTGGCATCAACTACTTTATGTTAATATGTTGACAATGTTTCATGGCTCTGCCTTCCAGCATAAGGCTAGGATAATTTCGACGCGGCCATCAGGGCCGTGGTAGCATAATTGGTCAGTGCATTAGCCTGGATTGCGAAGGGTGCGGGTTCGAGTCCCGTCCGCTGCCTGGTCCGCGTGGATTTTTTTCTAGTAAAACTTTTCTTTAGATTTAAACATCTATCAGTTAAATGCTTAAAAAAATAAGTCATAATATTTATTGCTTCATGTTGGTTACATTTAGTTCTTAAAGGATTGCTCAGCTTCCATACATGTTTGGCCTAAAGACCAATAATCATGAAAAATTGTTTCCTAGATTCGAAATTATATATTAATTACTGTAGAAACGAATATTATTGACGGACACCCCTGAGAACTTCTATAAACCATATAGACTGTACATATTAAAACAATAAAAAAACAAATAAGTTATATAGTAAACTAGGGAAATCAAGCCAAGTACCGAAATTATGGATTAGATTCAGGTATACAGAGCATGTAGATTAACAGATAGTTGCCTGTTTTTAAAGTTAATGCATAAGAGTAACTTTTAAAATCAGGTGTCATTTCCGGTTATAATAAGGTACTCTGTGACGGAAACTGTGTGATGATTGTGAATGAGCTACAGATTAGAGAGAATTTTTAAACTCTCGATAACCAAAGAAAGCTAAGAGATTTAGGTTCTATAGCCATATATTCAGTAGCTTCATTATTTTTGTTATGTTTTTAAGATAACCATATTTTAGATTTTTAGTGTATCACACCTTATAATTTTATTAATTTATAGTCAGGGAACGTAGGCCCATAGATAGGTACCTTAAAGTCTAACATATATACAGATTATAATGTGTTTATGGAGGTGTTTGACGAAAAATGTATGGCAATAGATTTTATGATGTCGCCTACCATCTATAATAATTGTCTGAGCACATTTGCATCTAGTGAAAATGATAATATAGTTGTCAATCAATCAATCAATCAAAATCATTTATTCAGTTTAGGCTGTTACAAGCACATATGAATGTCTAGAAGCTACGCCATCGGTTCGTAAATCTACGGCGGGAGACCTTGTACTGAGAAGAACCGGCAAGAAACTCAGCAAGGGCTGTTTTTTTCTCCCTGTTTTATTATTTACAGAGTCGTCAAATTGAAAAATGACTTCAGA